TGGTGAAGGTGTAGACGGGTGCCATGGTAACAGCGTTGAAGAAGGACACCTCCTCTTTCTCACAGTCTAAGAACACGCCGATGCGCTCCAGATGGAGCGACACGTTGACCCTGGTGGGCTCGGGGTCGGTGCAGGCCAGGACCTCTTCTCCCTTTAGTGCCAGGGTCCAAAGACCACTAGAGGTCCCCGTCGCCTTCATCTCCCCTCTGGAGACGTCCTCCCGGGCTACGCCCAACCTCCACGCCGTCTTACCGCCCACCTGCACCTCCCAGTAGTGTCGGCCCGTGGTGAAGCCCTGCCGACCCAGCAGGCAGTAGTAGTAGTGGAACCGTAGCGGGTTTTCCTGGCACTCCTGAGTGTCTTTAGTCTCATCAAACCACACGGTGGTGCAAGACGACGACAGGGACAGTTTAGGGTGAGCGGTCTCAGGGTCAAAGGTCACTGAAGTAATATCTGTGGGTCAACATATTTGGTCAGAAACGTGAGCTTCAGAGTCGTTTTTCAGACGAGAGTCGACGAGGAAACAGACGTCGTACTCACATACTTGGGTAAAGGCAGCTTTTCATGCGTTTCCATATCCGGTACTGGATGGGCCCCAAGAAGTGACTGGACCGAACCTCAGTGTCCACCTCCGCAGGGAGAACGAAGGTGACGTTAGACCTGATGTAGTCAAACACGAAGGAGAAGAAATGAAGTCACAGAACAAGTCCAGGACTTCAGGCACGAGCGGTTATTTAAAACAGTGACCAGTCATTTCATTAATCATGACATCATTATCTCAGAGGTCATTGATTGGACAGTTAGTGAGTAAAAAAAACACAGAGAAGGAAAAAAAACTTGCCTTTTTAAAATGTCTTGAATTTCCTGTAACGAGAAGAGAATCGTTTTGAATCGTTAAAATGAACTTCCTGTGTCATAACCACCATGAAAACACAGCCTGGAAACTAACGAAGAATCTGGTCGTGTTCGTCGTGTTAGTCGTGTTCGTCGTGTTCGTCGTGTTCGTCGTGTTCGTCCAGCTCCGTTTCCTCTCCTGGTTTTTAACACACTCTGCTGGTTGTCCTCTCACTTTTAAATGAGAAATTGATTTGGACTTGAAAACTGCTCAGTCAATCGGTGTCTACGTACGTGATGGAATAACAGCCAATCAGACGCAGCAGAAAGCACTGTCACCGTTACTCTGCACTGCAGTGCCTTTGAGCTACAGACTGCAGAGTCACGGTGTTTCAGCAGCTCCAGACACTGAAGTCCAACAAGACTCAAAGTACTGGACAGTATGATGTGTGAGGTGAGGTCCAATCAGGTGTCTCCAACTGACCATCACTCCTTTTATGGAATTAAAACTATTCTCGACAATATTGAAAATATCTATCGAAATAAATAAAAAATGAAGGAGTTGACTGAGTTATCTCAAAAAGTCGCTGGTCAGACCATGACACTACCCCCTCTAGTACAGTAGGTGGCAGTATGTGCCCTAATAACATTAGTTGTGACCCAGTATTAAACCCATGTGTCGGCGGCTAAGTGACATTCAGGTGCTGATGTTTTGACCCGGTCTCTAACTCCTCCTCACTCTGAGCAGCTTCGGACTCTCCTCCTCCTCGAACAGTTTGTTGCTCAGCACCGTGACGGCTCTCTCCAGGTCTTTGCTTTGCTCTGAGATCTTCTTCTCTCTGGCCTTCAGCTTCTTCAGCTGTTTTCGCCTCTCTCTCCTCAGACGCTCCACGTCCTTTCGCTCCTCCTCAAACAGGAAGCGATGGAGGTTCTGGAACTCGGCCGTCAGTTCTCGTTCCAGCTCATCAAACCTGTTCTGAACGGAGAGGGATATAAACCAAAGACGTTAAGGAGGAGAGGTGGGGGGGCAGTAGAGGGGGGCAGTAGAGGGGGGCAGCAGAGGGGGGCAGTAGAGGGGGCAGTAGAGGGGCAGTGGAGGGGGGCAGTAGAGGGGGCAGTGGAGGGGGGCAGTAGAGGGGGCAGTAGAGGGGGCAGTAGAGGGGCAGTGGAGGGGGGCAGTAGAGGGGGCAGTAGAGGGGGGCAGTGGAGGGGGGCAGTAGAGGGGGCAGTAGAGGGGCAGTGGAGGGGGGCAGTAGAGGGGGGCAGTGGAGGGGGGCAGTAGAGGGGGGCAGCAGAGGGGGGCAGTAGAGGGGGCAGTAGAGGGGCAGTGGAGGGGGGCAGTAGAGGGGGGCAGCAGAGGGGGGCAGTAGAGGGGGCAGGGAGTGAAGACAGGGAGTGAAGAGATGAGGAGTAAAAAGAAGAATACCTCGACTTCCAGTGAGTCTACGAACGTCCTCCTCTCTGCGTCCCTGCACTTGTCGGCCTCATGCTCTATTCTTTTAATAGCCTGGCCGAGTTTTAGCTGTTGACATGGAGACGCGTGAAAATACACAGAGAGAGAACGGAACAGAACGGAACAGAACACATATGGACAGGTGTCAGTCAGTGTGACAAAAAAAAAACAACAACCAGAAAGACAACGGCAGTGAAAAACAGTGGAACTTACCTTTAACTCACTGAGAATGTTTTCAATGCACTGGTCGTTGGTGGTCGGTTTGGAGCAGATTTGGTTCATCTCACTGTTCTGTTGAAATGTTTCAAAAAGGAGAAGACAAAGAAGCAGAGCGACAGACTGGAGCTGCCAGCAGAGCTCAGTGTTGGGACAGAGGACACTCTATTTCTGTCTGACAATGTGGATTGAAGCACAGTCAAATCTGGTAGTGGGGGGGGGGGGGGATAAAAGCAGCTGTTTTCCCCTGAGACAATATATAAATAAATACAAAGAGCAATATATATATATATATATATATATATATACATATATATATATATATATGTCTTCTCACATAATTATACATATATATTTCTGTGAGACTGATCTCTAATATCAGTGGGGAAAAAATAAATAATTGCAATAATGTAGTTAATCCACACACACTGATCTGGGCTTCGAACCAAGACTGGACTTTATATCTGCAGAGCTGAGGAGAGACTCTGCGGCTGTGAGTCAGCCCACCCACTGCACCCCCCTGTGGACTATTAAATTCACTGCACAGGTACAGGATATTCCAGATGCAGACCACAGGAGGTCTTACGTCACTGGTTTCACTGCAGTGTTTTATTGTTGTTTTTCTCTTTCCTAGCCTTCCTCCCTCCCCTCACTGACAGAGACACACGGGGTCCGGCTGTGGTGCCTGCATTAAGGCTTTGAGTCATCTGTACAAAAGTCCCTCATCCATAATTCACACAGCCGGGCTGAGTCTGTGGCTGATGGATGCACCAGTCCATACAGTAGAAGGAAGGAAGGAAGAAACAGAAGAGCAGGATTTTTAAATGTATTTATGTTTTGATTTATTTTATGTCACCCTCCTCAAAATATCCATTGTTTTTTCATTCCCTTAAAACGAAGCAGTCACGGTCAACAAAGTTGTTCAAAACACCTGACGGTAGATAATAACTACTGGAACTGTGTTCCAGCACATTAATTTTTTAATGATAATATTCAAACACGACTTGTAACTTCACATCAACGCCTCGTGACACAAAAACAAGTGTAATTCACAGACATAACGCAGGCCCCGCCCATCACGGCGCACAATATAGACGTCACGACGGTAAACAAGAGCATGTCGCGCAGACTGAATCAGCCCAGAGGTATCACCGGTGATTTTGATACATTTTGCTGAACGGTAGTTTTGTAAGACGTTAAAAATGTTTTCGACATAAACGCGACTGTTGTAGCATGTTTTATAAACCTCGGTGAGAGCCGCAGCCCGGTGTATTTAACACACTGTCGATGCTATTAGCATTAGCATCACGACAGAGTTCTCTGTTTTGTTACACGCCGTTTGAACGTGTGTTACAGACAGTTGTGTTGAACTTGTGTCTGTTTGTCAACTTGTCGTTTCTCTCCCGTCAGAAATGAACGGCCAGGCGGACGTGGAGGTCGACTACAAACGGAAATACAAAAACCTGAAGAGGAAATTAAAATTTCTAGTTTATGTGAGTGTGTTTATGTTTATGTGCACGTTTGTCCGTCTACGTGTTGACGTCAAACGTGTCTGTTCCTCACGACTGTGTTTTATATTTTAGGAACAGGAATGTTTTCAGGAAGAGCTGAGGAGAGCTCAGAGAAAACTTCTGAAAGTCTCCAGAGACAAGAGGTGACGTCACCACGTCAAAATATTCAACTTTAACAAAGTCGTTTCTCAACAACAAGCGGTTAATGTGTGTCTTTCAGTTTCCTCCTGGACCGACTGTTACAGTATGAGAGGATCGATGAAGACTCCACAGGTGTGTGTGTGTGTTTGTATATATATATATATAATATAAATGTGGTGTCTACTGCGCTGCCTGAATGGAATTCTTTAAATTTAAGTTTTAAATTTCCTTCAGACTCCGATGCCACAGTTTCCTCAGAGAACAGTGAGGCTGAAGGTCCCAGGGAACGAGAGAGAGATGTGGCAAAAAAGTAAGTCTGGAATATTTTCTGAACAGCTGAACAACTCTGTACCTTGGATTTATTTTTAGAATTTATTACAGTTCATTTTTGTAATTTTTTTTGTATTTGCAAAAATGTTTGTGCATGTGTAAAAATAAACACAAAACTTCAGTCCTCCCCCCTGTGTTTTTTCTTGTCGTCTTCAGGCGAAGAAGCAGCCCTGGAGCGTGTCTCCCTTCTTCTTCCTCCCCTCATCTCTCCCTGCTGTCCCGTCCCAGTGTCCCCCCCCTGCAGTCCTCAGGCTCTGGACCGTACCTCAACACTGTGAGCTTCCATCTCTGTGTATTTTATTGTGACGTATCCAGAGGCAGGAACTATTTTCTGTTGTCATTTTAAATTCGTCATCATTTATTTTAATTTGATCATAATTTTATTTAACACTTTGTCTCTGTGTATTTTTACATCATTGATTTTCTTTTCTTACATTCTTCATTTTTCTGTTGTTTTTTTTTTCTGTTTTGTGTGTGTGGGCTGACCTTGGCCTGTGGGTGTGTGTGGTCTTTGGCACACATGTTTTGGGCAGATGCCCTTCCCACCGGAGTATTTGGCTCCCGGCTGAACGATTGAAGAAAGAAAGAAAAACAAAGGCACCAAAAAACAAGAAGGAGCCTTCAGGGAAGGTGAGAGAGGAAAAACAAAAGACATGGATGTTGGCAGCGTCACCGTTAGAGAAACACAGGACGTTTTATTACACCTGTCCTGCAGTTATCATCAATGATTGGATTTATTATATTTTAATACACAAGAATAGTTAAATTAAAAAAGTCAAATCTGTTAAAAAATTGGGATATGGGGATTATTTTTTTATTTTCAAGTCTATAAAGTCTGCCTCTTTTTGACGTGTATTTATACAGCTGCGGGTGGTGGTAGGTTCATCCCCACCTACTGCCCCCTACAGGCTACATCTGTTGTGACTCCTAATCAAGACAAGAGCTGGTCAGACCGGCCCCTCCCTCTCTGTCTCTCACACTCGAGCCTCATGTTTTTGTTGAGACGCAGCATTTCCATCTCCTCTTCCTTCAGGTTGTTGCCTCAATGGCAGCAAATTACCCATCTGCCCCGGTGGCTCCAGCATCAGCCAGCAGCCCCTTCAGCTGGGTTCCCAGACAGATGCTGAGTGGAGACGCAGCGGAAGAGGACGGAGAGAGTGATTTAGACAGTGACCGAGGGGACGAAGACCAGGGGGAGGGGGACGAGGCCGAGCTCGTCATCGACATTCCTAATGAATGAGCCTGTGTCTGTCCATGAAGCAAGAGACTCTCTATGTGACTGGAGTTCACAACACCCCCCTGGTGGTCAATTGTTTCATAGCAGGTCTGGTCCCATCATCATTCTTGACTTATACTTGGATTTAAGAAATGAAATGATGTCAAAACTACGTTAGTTTTGACATAATTTCAAAACTAACGTAGTATTTAAGCACTGAACGGCTGAGACACGTACGTACGTCTGTCTGTACGTCTACTGCCACAGTGACGTCAAGAAGTCATGAAGTTCACACTCATCATTTCTGTGTAAAACCATGAACAACAAGGTGTGACTGTGTATTTTTCTGTGTAAATATGAATGAATGAATGAATGAACTGTTGAAATATCTTGACCTTTGTCCGACACCATTATTATGACTCTTCTTAAGTAAACAATTATTTTTTTAAATTTAAATTCTGCTGTCTGATTATGTCACAAGTCACATATATATGTATGTATTTATTTATTTATTTATTTTTTACAGCAATCAAACTAGTTTACTAGAGACTGACAGTTTCTGTCTGTCGACCAATCCTGGCTCCATTTTTTAGTCATTGATTTTTATGTTTGTCTTAGGCTGAAAACTGGTGATGTTTAAATGTGGTCAAAGGACAAAACTCCTGTCATAAAAAGGCCAAATGCTCCACCCCTCCCCACCCTAAAACTCTCATACCAGCGAATGCTTACCATTAAATATTTCTGACTGTAAATCTGACTGTACGTCAGCAGGTGGCGCTCACACGTTCCTTCGTACTTATACAAATGTTCTTAAATATTTGGCACATGTTGTTCCACGGACTCGACGGCCCGACAGAGGTGGATCCTGACAAAAGCCCTGAGGTTCAGCCGGGCTCATGTTTGCTCCTCCTCCAGGAGCCCAGAGCGGCGCTAGTTATTGTTCTGGTCATTTTAATCCATGCACTTGTGTGATAGGGTTACAGCTCAGTCGATGCACAAACACTTTTCACCGTCTTGTCCCGACAGGTCTGTGTTTCTGAGGAAGTCAGGTTGAAATAAAAAGACCAATCAGATTTAAGAATCACAGCCGACTGTGGGTTAAAGGTTACGGCTTCAACCAGACAGACCTCATGTCAGAGCTGCGTACAGACGGGATTTCAACCGACGGGTTTTCAGTCCGAGTTTCACTTCAAACAGCGTCAGCACATTCATGTACAGAGAATAATGGAGACAGGAACGTGTTTGTCCAGTGACGGTCTTTACACAGAGACCGCTGCTGGGGAATGCAGACCTGCAGGTACATGGGTACGATCCTCAATGGGTGTGTGCTCCTCGTGTTAAAGTCAAAGGTGTAACTGTAGAGAGGGGAGGAGGGAGGAACAGAGGGAGGGGTGAGGTGGAGGTGCACCCAGAAGGAGAGTCAAAATAAGAGGGTGGAACTGACAGGCGAGGTGAGGTTGTCAGGGAAATGAAGAGTAAGCAAGAAGGGAGCACAGCTGACAGACATGGTTGGAGTCAGAGTGGAGGAGGGAGCAGGCAGCAACTGAGGAGGAAACAGGCAGCAAGTGAGGAGGAAACCAGCCTCGTCCTCGGCCACTTTATCTTTCCCATCTATAGACGGAAGCTGCTGGATAATTCATAAGCCTCTTCCTGTGGCTGCGTGTGTGTCAGAGGGACGGCTCATCATCTACACCCAGCACCACCATGCTCCGTCCTGCTGCTGCTGCTGCTGCTGTGCTGCTGCTGCTAGCAGTGCTGGGCCCCGGCCTGTCACTTTCAGCTGATGACGGCTCAGACTTCAGCCGCTGCAGTCAGTGCTTCTACAAACAGACTCCACCTCAGAGCAGCTCTGCAGGAACGCTGCTGCGCCCACTCTGCCACAAACTGCCCACGGGGCAAATGTTTGCCACTCTGTCCAAACCAACTTGTGACACAGCCGTTTACTGCGCCTTTCATTCCGGGCATGGGCAGATGGAGGAGGAGGGGGGGCACCTGGAGGTAAGGACATGTTTGTTGTGAGATTTAAAGTGACAGTAACTGTTTTGGTTTGGTTTGATCTTCTGAGGAATTCTAGTCACTGCAGCAGAAACGTCTCTGTACTTGGAGACATTTCCCTGGAGAGATGGGAAATATTTGTTTTTCAAGATAATTATAATAGTAGTTTAATTTACACGTCACTGCTCTTCACCATAAGTGGCCAGTTCTTCATGACCAGCAACAATGAAAAGCTAACGTTTTAACATGGATAAGCAGGTATTGAACTGACACACTCAGGGCTGAGGTATTTCCTGTTTTGTTTTGTTTTTCAGCCAGAGGAAGTGGACGGTGTTAAAGTGGCGGCACCGTCTTTACTCAGAGGAGACGTTGGTTCATCTGGTCCAGTCCTGCCCACTGACCCCGGTCTGCAGCACTGGGACTTGACCCTCACCAATCTGTTTCAGTCCAGCATCAGGCCACAGTGCAGCACAGTAGGGGGCGATCTGTACATCCTGACTGGTGTGGGAGGTCTACAGACCGGGGGAGATGGAGATGAGTGTCAGACTGAGCCCCTGTGGTCTGCATTCTGCTGTGCCGCTCCAGAGGGCAGTAGTGGCTTCAGTGGGGGTCTGATCAGAGAGACAGGAGCCGAGGACAGACAGGTGAGCACCAGGGAGCTGCAGGAGCTGCTGGGAGTGGGCGAGATGTTCTCTGAAGGCTGTGGAGGAGCAGATGCGGAGGCTTTTGGAGCGCTCACCAGTTCATTCAACCAGGAGAGTACTGAACCTGCAGGACACAGAGAAACAGACGGTCCAGAACCAGTCCAAGAAAACCAGGCCCATGAAGAGTCAGCGGAGGCAGAGGGAGCAGCGAGAAGCCGTGAAGAACGGCCTGATGTCGCTCAGTCCACTCCTGAGTCAGAGTCTCCTGTGTCTTCGTCAGTGGAGGAACAGGAAACGGATGAAAATGCCACCAGTACCCTGGTGTACATTCTGTCCACGACCATGTCCATCCTCAAGGCCCCGCTCCAGCCTGTGGTCTCCACAGTCACACACCTCCCTGGACAGGTGAGGGATTTTCAGTCAAATTTGATTCATTTAAACAGAGTTGGTTCTCAACCGGTGATGTCATCAAAGTGTGCCAGCCAATAAAAAGAGACATAAATGTCTCCCCTCCCTCAGGACATGGATCGCTTGAAAATCAGTTACCAAAAAGTTTAGTTAAAACAAAAAAATAATATTAACAGCAAATGTCCAATTACTTGGTTTAATTATTGTAAAATTTCCAAGAATTCAATGTTTATCTTGGAGCACAGGACCTTCTGGTTCACTGCGACTCAATTTGGTTTTTTGTCAGTTACATAATTACATTTATTTTTTATCACTGCAGTCACAAAACAACACTTTTGAACATGAGGAGCAGTGGATTTAGAAAGAAAACAAATGTCAAGAAAACTATTAAAAACTATTAAATAATGGTTTGAAAAAAGAAAATTCAGACTCTGACTTGTGCAGATGAGTGAGCCTCAGTTATCCATATAACATTTGGAAATAGTTTTATTTTTGTTAAGTCAATTAAAAATATCCTCATTCCTGTCTATGGGAGGAGCAGCTGTAGGAATGAGGTGTGGTCAGCAGGGGGTGTCACCTCTGTGGGTAATAGTTTCTCTGCTGTCACTGTGTTTTTGGATTTTCTTTATTTCACTATTTTGTTCTTTTTTTTTTCCTTTCAGGTGAATTATGTTCTTCAGGAAGACCTGGGGGTTCTCTCTGCTCTGCCCGGTCACACCTTCTCTCTGCTCCACCTCTTGGCCTCTGACCTCTGCTCGTGGATTGGCTCAGCTGCAGATCTGCTGCTGGGTGTTGGAGAAACCGGCTTTTCCAACGTTTACTACTGCACCTCGTCCATGCTGGGGGCTCTTTTCAGCAGTTGTTACACGGGGGTGACCGGCCTGGGGACCCTAGCCGGTGACACAGTGGGGGTATTTGGTGAGGCATTAGATAATGGCTGGTGGGTGACCAAGTTCTTTGGAGGACGACTGTGGGACAACAGTGAGGGTTACGTCGTGAGTGTGGCTTCAGAGCTGGGGGGTCAAACTAAAGCTGTAGGTGGGGGGTTGTGGAAGTTGGTGTGGAGGTGTGGGAGTGGAGTTTGTAATGTCTTCCATCTTGGTGGGGGCATTATATTTGGAATCCTAGATTTGCTCATTGGCACAGTGAGTGAGGCGTTTGGACAGGAGTCGAGCAGCGAAGAAGGACTAGAGTCTGTACTGAAGAGTTAGGATGAGGTCACGAGTGAGAAATATATTCTTCAGGTTTGTTTTGTAACAAAACAATGATGCGTTAACGGTTTGGTGTCATTTTATGAATTCACTTTGATAAAATGACTGACACGTGTCCAATTTAACCTCATTTTTCAGTTGATCATAATGCACAATGTTTGTTTTCATCTCTTGATCACTCTAACACCCTCTAGTGGCACAAATGCGGCTCTTCAACAACAAGGCTTTGAACCAACAACCCTGTAACCAGTGAACAATAATCTACAGCACAGCCTTTCCAACTACTATACTATGATGATGTTACTTAACCCAACAGCTAAAAGCTTATTATAAAAAATACTGTATTTTAGAGCTTGTAGTACTGTAGTAAATCACACTGAGCTTCTGGAAAAACATGTTTTGTCTTGTAATTCCTGTGTACATTTGAATAAAGAGGTTGATGCCACGCTCTTGTAACATATTTTACATGACTTAGTGAATACTGTGGATGCTAGACAGTTTCAACCACAATTCTGTCAATTATAAATAATATGGAGAGATATAGCACTTAAAAAAGTTTTACTTAAAAAAGGGGTTGATTTAATGAAAGTTAATAAAAGTTTAGGCAAAGGTTTAAAAAATGTCTGAAATAGTAAGTGTTTAAATATTTTATAAAATAGTAATTAATGAAATTAAGTATAAAATATGTTATTAAATTCGTGAAAGTCGTTACTATTGTAAATAAGCTAGCTGCTTGTACTGCTACTATTTGTAGAAGCTCTATAGTACTACCGCTGTATCGCAACTATTATTTTCCTCAAATTCTTATATTTTAATTTTTTATTACTTATTATTATTATTTATTGTGGCTTGATAATGTTGTGTACTTTTTAAAAGAAAAAGAAGAAGACCTTTTGCCGATAATACTCACAATCTAACTTCCGCTAACAACCGGAAGTTGTGGGTTAAACCCGGAAGATTTCATTGCATCAGACTCAGAAGGCGGAGTGGACTCGTGTGCCGTGTAGGCTAACTTAAGCTGACGTCTGTCTGTCTTCATTTGAAGGTCTGGATATATTTTTAAACTTTGTCATTTAAACGGTGCGTTAACGAAACTTATTTAGAACAGCTTTAAAACGGTGATTTGAAGGACAGCAATACGCAAACGTTGTCGTTTGTCATAAACGTGACTTTAACTTTAATGCATTAGCTAAAGCTAACCGGCATGTTCGGCAATAATATTGAGAATTGCTGTCATCTCTGATCGACAAACTTTGCCCAAAGTCAGACAAACTGCATGTTAACTAAACTAGACTTCATTCAACACTTTGTTTTATGCATTTAGAACTTGAACTAGAAATATATATATATGTAAAGTTTAGTGTGTTACAGACGAGAAGGTAGAGAGAAGATGCAGAGAACAGGGAGAAATAGAAGACAATGATCCGCTGTGGCAACCCCTGAAAAAGAGACAAACCGAAAGGAAAAGAAGAATAGTCATTCTAGTCACATTTCTCTGTTAGTACACTGATAAACATCAGTATTTTCATGAGGTGTGTTAAAACATTCCAGTCACAATGGATTGTCTACAGGAAGTATGACGCCGTCACAAAGGTTTTGCTTTCAATAAAGTGTTTTTAATATTAGCAACTAAATTAATAATCATAACTAGATTAGGGAAATGCTCAGCTTAAAACAATCACTGACCAACATTGTTCAGTAGCTTTAAAATCCTAAACATTTTTGCTAATGGTTTCAAACGACGTTGACAGTATTTGTTATCATTCTCCAGGAATGGCCACTCTCTACGTGTCCCCTCACCCTGATGACTTCAGGAGCCTCCAGGCTCTTATAGCTGCAGAGTTTTGTACAAACCCTCGTCCTCGAATAGTCACAGAAGAAGCCCCTCCAGCTCTGAATGCATACAAATCCAGACCGACTCTGGTGCTGGGCTCTGGGGAAGGTGGCGCTGTCCTGAGTAGTACCAGTGCCGTCACCTGGTACCTGGCCTCTCAGGGGCAGAAAGCAGGACTGGATTCAAAACAACAGAGCCAGGTGTGGCAGTGGCTCAGCTTCGCAGACAACGAGCTCACACCAGTGTCCTGTGCTTTGGTCTTCCCTCTGATGGGATTTAAAGGCGTGGATAAGAAGGTGAGAGAACCGTCTTCAGGCTTCACTCATTTCTGTGATTTTATGTTGAGATAACTTTCCTGCTCATCTTCTGTTTCCAGATTCAGCAGAGCTCCCGTGCTGAGCTGCTGCGTGTTCTCAAGGTTCTTAATCAGGTGCTGGAACCAAAAACCTTTCTAGTGGGAGAGAGCATTACCCTGGCCGACATTGCTGTAACCGCAGCTGTTCTTCTTCCTTTTAAATATGTGAGTCTGCTGCAGAAAACCGTCTGTTTTTAACATCGTTAAACGAGTGAAAAGTCTTAGTTTGAGCAAAACACCATCATGAACAAAACTGAGATCTGAGTGGAATAAAATAGGAAAATAAAAGGTAATTAACCCATCAGTTCAGATCATAGTACTACTACGAGGAGTGTGTACAGGTACGTGCAGCATCTGTTACCAGTACACACCAAACAGCTTTTTAACATGTTGCTTTATTTTAAGGCCTTGGAGCCCACAGACAGGAAGTCACTGACCAACGTGACGAGGTGGTTCACGACCTGCATCAATCAGCCACAGTTCCTGAAGGTGTTGGGGAAAATCTCACTGTGTGAGAAAATGGTTCCAGTCACACCAAAGACAAACGCTGCCCCCGAGACTAAAGTCACCAACGGTGGTCCTACTGCTGAGGCTGCAGGCACCCAGGCTAATGGTGAAGAAGGTAGGGATTATGGGTAATCTTGTTTTTCTATTTGTGTGAAATACATCCTAATTTTTTCTGATCTTTTTTTTTTTTTGGCCCAGGTCCTCCAAAGACAGAAGCCCAGCTGAAGAAGGAAGCCAAGAAGAGAGAAAAACTGGAGAAGTTTCAGCAGAAGAAAGAGATGGAGGCAAAGAAGAAGACACAGCCCGCGGCAGAGGTAAACATTTTCCTTAACACACGATGAACATTACTTAAACCAGGGATTCCTGAAGGGTGCACAAGCTGCCACTAGGGGGTGCGCGAGGTTAAAAAATTGTGATGTTTGGATTTTTTTTTAAGTGGGATTCTTCCCTCACAATAACGACTTAAATAAATATTTTCTTTTGTAAGTTAAGTTAAATCAAAAGGTGACATTTTATTAATAAATAAATACAGGCTGTATATGTATGTGTTATGTGTTTTGGTCATTTGAGCATCTACAAACAGGCTGCCTTTATTAAAAAAAAAAGCTTGTTGACTTTTCTTTTTGGAGAAATGGGGGTGCGTGTCCTAAAAAGTGTGAGTCGCTGTCTTAGACAATTTGATTAAATCATTTTATGTTCCCTCTTTAGAAAAAGGCCAAACCTGAGAAGAAAGAGTTGGGAGTCATCACATACAACGTCCCTACTCCTCCTGGGGAGAAAAAAGGTGAGTGGAAAAATGTAACATTACAATCGAGAAGGTTAGAGTATAAAGAACTAAGAATCTGAGAGTGAGACACATGTAAATGTCTCCACTGTGTTCTGTGTCCCGGCGGAGTCAGACGTCGTCAGTCCTCTCCCTGACGCCTACAGTCCTCAGTATGTGGAAGCCTCCTGGTATCCATGGTGGGAGAAGCAAGGATTCTTCAAACCTGAATATGGGGTGAGATACTTCTCCCCCACTCCTCACATCAACAGATTCTCTTTTAATAATATCACATTAACATAACATTTGTTCTGCAGAGGACAAGCGTGAGCGAGGAAAACCCCCGTGGCCTCTTCATGATGTGCATCCCACCACCTAATGTAACCGGGTCACTGCACCTGGGTCACGCTCTCACCAACGCCATCCAGGACTCTCTGACCAGATGGTAAACACAGACTGACTCAGTCCATCAGGTCTGAAGTCCTTATTCATGTGTTTATGGATGGAACAGTGGATGAAAACCGCTGTTCTCAGATGATGGTACATTTACTATTGATGTCACTTTGGCTCCCTCTAGTGGCATACAACGGAAATTGTATTTATTTATTTTGAAAACGTAGTCTTCATATTCTGCCACAGGCTGACTGACAGTGTTAGTTTTACCGTCAGAAATACTTGACAGGAGGAAACTGTTGGAGTCACAGCGCCCCCAGCAGGAGTATTTCTAAATGACGGCAAGAGAATTACACTGAAGTTGAAGACATGTTTGAATATAAAATAGGACAAGATATAATCATAATCAAAGGCAGATATATGTATGTAAATATATGTAAATATGAAGGTTTAACATGCTTAATATAAACCCAAATACATCACTGTAAAAATACAAAAGTTTCACCAATTTGGCACAAAGACGAAACATTTTGTGCAGTGACATAGTTTGAGGGAGAATTTTTCTAAAGGTGGTACAAGGTGTAAAAAAAGTTTTAAATAAATTGTTATAAAGTTAAAGACTCAGTGTCTGTGGGAGGGTTGAATAATTTGAATACAGGTTTCTGTTCTTCCTCCTCCTCCGCTCCATCTTCAGGGAATTTAACTTTTCTGTTTTTATTGGATATAATTCTTTGTAAATGTTTTTAAAGTATCTTTGTTTTAGATATAAACCACTCAAAACTCAAATGTTTTTGTAATGTTAGGCTGCCCCCTACTGGGGTCAGGATCCCTTGCGTTAATACATTTTTATTGTTCTGTGTCCCAGGCACAGGATGCGCGGTGAGACCACTCTGTGGAACCCAGGCTGTGACCACGCAGGCATCGCCACTCAGGTGGTCGTGGAGAAGAAGCTGAAGAGAGACAGGGGAATGAGCCGCCACGACCTGGGCAGGGAGAAGTTCATCCAGGAAGTGTGGAAGTGGAAGAACGAGTAAGACGTCGGAGACGTCGGCCTTAAAGTCTGCAGCAAAACCAAAGAAATGAACACACACTCAAACTCTGGTCTCGTGTTTCAGAAAAGGAGACCGGATCTACCACCAGCTGAAGAAACTGGGCTCCTCCATGGACTGGGACAGAGCCTGCTTCACCATGGACCCCGTGAGTTTCCTCCACTTCACACTCTGTCTTTCAAAGTGTCTCCGTCTTCCTAACCCGTGTCCTCCGATCCAGAAACTGTCCTACGCCGTCCAGGAGTCCTTCATCAGACTGCACCAAGAAGGAGTGATCTACAGGAGCAAGAGGCTGGTCAACTGGTCCTGCACCCTGAACTCTGCCATCTCTGACATCGAGGTCAGGAGACCGTGGGGTCACCTGGAGGGGGGGTGGGGGGGGTAGAGTCACTGATACTGCACTAAGACTGCTATACTACACCATACTACAATACTACACCAGACTGTACTACATGTTGTTGTTGTTCTCAGGTGGACAAGAGGGAGCTGACGGGCCGGACTCTGCTGCCCGTCCCTGGTTACACAGAGAAGGTGGAGTTTGGAGTCCTGGTGTCGTTCGCCTACAAGGTGGACGCCTCAGGTGTGTCACCGGTGGAGGAAAATGAAACGTGTTGTATGCTGCCACCTGGTGGCTGTCTTTTATTAATAGTCACTGTTCCTCAGATGAGGAGGTTGTCGTGGCAACCACTCGTATTGAGACCATGCTGGGCGACACGGCGGTGGCCGTCCACCCCGCTGACCCCAGGTACCAGCATCTGAAGGGGAAGATGGTGCAGCATCCCTTCTGTGACCGCAAGATGCCCATCGTGATGGACGAGTTCGTGGACATGAGCTTTGGAACAGGTAGGCGTCGTTACGCCAGAGTGATTACGGTCATTAAAGTGGACCCCGCTCCCTCATTAGAGCCTCGTTTCTCTCCCGTTTGTAATATTTCCCGTCTCTCTGCGCTCGTTCCCAATCAGGTGCCGTCAAAATCACTCCGGCCCATGACCATAATGACTACGAGGTTGGAGAGCGGCACAATCTGGCCTTCATCAACATCCTGGACGAGAACGGCCTGCTCATTAACGTCCCCCCTCCCTTCCTGGTGCGTCGTCTCATTACCTCCTCCTTATAACAAATGTTTTCTTTCTTTTTTTTGTCTCCCAGGTGGAGTTTGATTTGATTTTCCATTTCTGCCTCTTCTATCAGGGAATGAAACGATTTGAGGCCAGGAAGGCGGTGCTGCAGGCTCTGATGGACCGAGGCCACTTCAAAGAGATCAAAGACAACCCCATGGTGGTTCCAGTCTGCAGGTGAAGTCCAGGTCATGGACAGAAGTGAGAAAAATAAACAAAACTTTATTTATTTATTTATTTTTAAACGCGTCTTTTGTTCTGTACTCTGCCTCCACACCGTCAGTCGTTCCAAAGACATCGTGGAGCCTCTGATGAAGCCACAGTGGTACGTGAACTGCAGCGACATGGGCAAACAGGCGGCTGATGCCGTCAGAGAGGGACGGCTGAAAATCATCCCCGAGCACCACCTGAAAACCTGGTTCAACTGGCTGGACAACATCAGGTTAGTCCGAGTAGATATTCTGAAAGGTGTTGGTGACATGACTTTATCTGTTCATATATGTACACATACATACATACATTTATACATATATGAATACATAGTGAATGGACAGTGGAATTATTGGAAGTAAGTATATCAGTGTATATATATGTGTGTGTATATATATATATATATATATATGTGTATATATTGACAGGGTTGGTTCTTCTCTGGTCTCTGCAGGGATTGGTGCATCTCTCGACAGCTGTGGTGGGGTCACCGTATCCCAGCTTACTTTGTCACCGTCAACGATCCCTCTGTGAAACCAGGAGAGGTGAGGAGCAGACGTTGTTCCTCTGTTGATCTCCTCAGACTCCTCCTGCTGTGTGTCCTCCTCTAACTGCTCTCCTCCTCCTCCTCCCTGTCCGTCCTCTAGGACGTAGACGGTCATTACTGGGTCAGTGGAAGGACAGAAGAGGAGGCCAGAGAGCAGGCGGCCAAACGCTTCAACGTCTCTGTTGACAAAATCAGCCTCAGACAAGGTGATCCTGGATGATCCTGGTCCAGATGACTGTAATCTGCTACATTTACGCCACGTTTCTTTAATATTTATTTTAAATTCACTCTTGTGTTTCAGACGAGGACGTTCTGGACACCTGGTTCTCCTCTGGGATTTTCCCCTTCTCTATTTTTGGATGGCCAAATGAGGTAAAAAAAAAACTGTTCTGATGTTGACTTCTGTACAGTATTAAACACAGCTGCTCCGTGAACCACAGCTTTGAACCACACATTATATTTTATATATTTATATATATTTTCATGGTGGGTTGTGACCGGCTGGTATCAAGTTAGAGAGAACAGTAGCTAACAGAAATGTCAGAAAAGTATTTGTAATCTGTTTAGTTGAACAGAACATTGATCACAGGAATTGAAGAAAGAGACACACAGAGATCTACTAACTTGTTTTAGCTTTTATAGCTTTTACAGTTATATTTATGTATTATATGTAGTTGTGTCTGCTGCCCCCTTGTGGAAGAATATTTCATTGATCTGTCTTTCAATGTTTCATGATAAACAAAGACAAATTATTTGCAGTAAATAAATAATCGACCAGTTAGTGCATCGTTTTTAATTGGTTTATATTTTCAGAAAAACATTTGTGTTTTTAAACTTTCCCTCAGTGTGAAGATCTGAACGTCTTCTACCCTGGGACTCTGCTGGAGACCGGCCACGACATCCTGTTCTTCTGGGTCGCACGTATGGTGATGATGGGCCTGAAGCTGACGGGAAAGCTGCCCTTCAAAGAGGTGGGGCGTGTCCCGCTGTCAGACCCCGGCTGTGGCGTACAGCTCCACCTGTCAGTCTGTCAAACTGAGGCGTGAATTCCTTCATCCGTAGGTTTATCTTCACGCCGTGGTGAGAGACGCCCACGGGAGGAAGATGAGCAAATCTCTGGGCAACGTCATCGACCCGCTGGACGTCATCATGGGGATCTCCCTGGAGGTAACGTCTGCTCACGATTTACCACACCGCTGGTTTGACTCTCACGTAGCTCGCTGCTTTGTGCCCCATGTGGGGCGTCTGATACATGGTCACCACCAGTTACTGCCCCCTGGAGGCCCATATTCTTACGTTAGCTTTATTAAGCAGCCGTTTCGGCCTCCAGCCATCTTTTATTGAGGTCATCAATCTCTTCACCAGCTGCTCAGTCAGAGATGACACAACTGTCCTCTAGAGGGCACTGAAGGACCTGTAGGAAACTGCACCTGAGCTGTAACCTTTTCTACTACGTCTTTTGATCAGGCCTATAAATACAAGAGGCTTTAGAGTACTGTGAAGTACGTGGTGTGAATACTGAGCGGTGTGAATACTGAGCGGTGTGAATACTGAGCGGTGTGAATACTGAGCGGTGTAGTTTGGCTGCGGTCTGTCCTCCAGGGTCTTCATGCTCAGTTGATCGAGAGCAACCTGGATCCTTTAGAGGTGGAGAAGGCGAAGCAGGGACAGAAGTCGGATTATCCAAATGGAATCCCAGAGTGCGGCACAGATGCTCTCCGCTTCGCGCTGTTGTCCTACTGTAGTCAAGGTGAAGTTGTTTGTCCTGTTTTTTTTTTTCTTCTCTAACAGCCTGAAAATCTGTTTTGAATTCACACCGTGTACGGACACAGACTGGGAAATAACAGCAGCTCACGTCTGAGTCTGCTCTAACAAAGGCTGTGTTTAAATGTTGACTGAAATGTCACCGTCTTCCTCCTGGGCTCCCACAGGCAGGGACATCAACCTGGATGTCAACCGCATCCTCGGCTACCGTCACTTCTGCAACAAACTGTGGAACGCTGTCAAGTTTGCCATGAAGACTCTGGGAGAGAACTTTGTTCCTTCAGAGAAAGCCCAGGTGAGACCAGGGCGGGGGATGAAAGGCAGGAAACACGACTGCTTCATAAAACCTTTCTTTTTTTTTTTTTCTAACATTCATCTGGTGACAGGAGGAGAAGCAGATTTTATAGTCAACTCTTTGTCTGGTGTGAAGTTCTGCTCTGGTGCAGCTCGTCTTGTTTTGTCGTGGAGTTAACTGAGTAACTTTTTCTTCTTCGTCTCACTGTCAGCTGTGTGGAGAGGAGAGCGTGTCGGACCGATGGATTCTGTCTCGACTCAGTGCTGCTGTGGCCTCGTGTGACGCCGGCTTCAAAGCCTACGACTTCCCCAGCATCACCACCGCCGTCTACAACTTCTGGCTGTACGAACTGTGTGACGTTTACCTGGTGAGAAACTGAAGTGTCTCCTGATCTGTCCTCTCCTGATCTGTCCTCTCCTCATCTGTCCTCTCCTCATCTGTCCTCTCCTCATCTGTCCTCTCCTCATCTGTCCTCTCCTGATCTGTCCTCTCCTCATCTGTCCTCTCCTGATCTGTCCTCTCCTCATCTGTCCTCTCCTGATCTGTCCTCTCCTCATCTGTCCTCTCCTGATCTGTCCTCTCCTCATCTGTCCTCTCCTGATCTGTCCTCTCCTCATCTGTCCTCTCCTGATCTGTCCTCTCCTCATCTGTCCTCTCCTGCTCCTGATCCCGTATCAATCTCCTCAGTCATTGATCAGTTCTTGATTTTTTCCAATATTCCTGGTGTTGGTTCATGTTCTTGTTCTTTTCTTTCTCCTCTAGTGATTCCAAATGTAGATCCATCTGTTCCAGAGTTAGGAACTGATGTTCAGATGGAACAGCAGCAGAGTCTTTTATCCAAATATATATATATCTTATCGTTACCCCTGTATCGTGTATCGTATCGACAGACTTTCCTTCATCGACACCTACTAACTCCTACAGAGTCGTAGTACTCCTACAGCCCCGCCCCTTCCTGCCCCTTCCTGCCCCTTCAACTGCATCAAATCTGACCCTGGTTCTCACATGCAGCCCACGTCCTTATTGTATGGGTCAGACCAACACGGTGACTGGTCCACTAACCATCACTTCTCCAAATCACCAGGAAAGCGTGAAGCCAGTGTTTAACAAAGCAGTGGAGGACGACAACAGTCGGAGACAGGCGGCCGTCTGCAGACAGACCCTCTACACCTGTCTGGACGTCGGTCTGCGCCTCCTGTCCCCGATGATGCCCTTCGTCGCAGAGGAGCTGTACCAGAGGCTGCCGCGAAGACGACCGCAGAGCGACGCCCCCAGTGTCTGTGTCACCCCCTACCCCGAAACAGAGGAGGTGAGCGACAACGACGACAACAACAACAACGACGACAACAACGACGACAACGACAACAACGACAACGACAACAACGACGACAGAGTTGTCTGTTAAATCAGAACCAAATCATTCTGGACTTGGTGGAATGTTCTTTTTTTTCTGTTTGAAGTGTTGAGAGTGTTGAGTGTTGACGGTGACGTTGGTTCTGTGTCCTGGTTCTTCCATCAGTTCTGTTGGCACAGTGAGGACGTGGACCGGGACATGGACTTTGTCATGACTGTGGTCAGGACCATCCGGTCGCTCAGGTCCGACTACAACCTGAACAAACTCAGAACAGACTGTAAGACCACACACACACACACACACACACACGACTAATTACGTTTTAAGACATTTGTTGGAAACAGTTTTTGTGTGTGAAGGTTAAAATGTTAACATTTTTAATCTGATTAAGATTACAAACTAATAAAAAATTAAATTTCTGTTTTTCTAAATAATTTATTATAAGGTGTTAAAGACTGTAATATTCAGAGAATAATTAATTAAAAAACTTTAATGTTTAAAACGTTTCCAAATCTTTAATAGTTTATTTTATTGATGTTCTGATAAAACACAGAAATATATTCTCAGAGTTTGTGACTTCCTGCAGAAACAAAAACAAACGACCGTGTATTTACTTCATCCCTCTGAGTATTCTGTGGGTCAGATACTGCAGTACTTCCTGACCTGGACTCTGTTTCTCTCCAGGTTACCTCCAGTGCATCGACTCGGCCACGGCCGCTCAGGTCCAGACCTACAGTCTGCAGATCCAGACCCTGACCTACTCTCAGACCGTGGTTCCTCTGACGGCCGACCAGTCCGTCCCAGAAGGCTGTGCTGTGGCCATGGCCTCCGACAGGTGCACCGTCAACCTGCTGCTCAAGGTGAGGCCCACGGGTCTGCCCCGGGACCCCGGGACCCCGGGACCCGGACTAATCTGGTCCTGGTTCACGGCAGGATTTTATTTATTATTATTATTTAGATAAAAAACAAACCAGCGGTTCTCAAACTGTGGTACCGCTGCTGGTACTTGGGCTCCCTCTAGTGGTAAGTGTGTTTATTGGTTGGTGCACAGAAGTGCATTTGTGTATTTGCATAACTTTTATACATTTTCTTTGTATACTGTACTGCTGTGTACTACCACAATACTACCATGATACTGGTGGTACTGGGAGAGACGGTTGTTTTCGTTGACTGTCGTCCTGAACTCCGTTCCAGGGTCTGATTGACGTGGAGAAGGAAGTTACAAAACTGATGACGCGGCGAGGAGACCTGGAGAAACAGCTGGAGAAACTGAGGGAGAAGATGGTGAAGAACGACTACAAGGAGAAGGTGCCGCTGAAGGTGCAGGAGCAGGATTCTGAGAAGGTGGGCTACGTTAATTACCCTGACGATGTGTCGCCTGTCGACGACGCCAGGTCCAGGTAAATAAATAATCTTCTTTTCTATGCAGCTGCGTCAGAGTCAGACTGAACTGGAGAAGGTGAAGGAAGCTGTGGAGAACTTTAGGAAAATGATGTAATCACCCCCACCCCCCAGAGTGATGATGTCACTGCTTTAATTATCTCCTGTCAAATTAGAGTTCATTTACATTTTACACTGCAGTCTGAGAGTGAAGGGAATAAAACTTCAAAAACCAAAATCATCGTTTTGTGAATGGTTTTATTTGTTCAGGTGACAAACAGATGAGTTTTTATCCCTTATGTCAGAACGGTTCTACTCAGCACATTTGATAGAACGTTGAGGAACAAAATAGTCACAGAAAAACAACATGACAAGGTTAGAGTTTAGCTGCGTTTTAACGAGGAGAGTCTCCGTGACCGATGATGTCATCAGAGGATTTTATTTACAGCGAGAGTCGGCGTTTGACTCAATTACATCACGTCCCTCGACTTCACGTCCCTCACCAACCCTTCAGGTGGAGTACACAGTGACAACACGGTTGATTGGCCAGAATTTACCCACAATTCCCAGTTGGTTAAAGGCTGCACCAGTGTGTGGCCAGTCAAACAGTCTTACTGAGAAAAGACTTTAAAATCTAAACACAAAAACTTTGTTCCCACTCCTCCTCCCCTGTAGGTGGCACTGTCCCATATGTAAAGTCCCAGACTGTGTGGTGGTTATTATTTTACATTAACTTAACATTTAGCCACAAACATAAGTGAGTTTGACTTTGGGATTTAAACTTCCAGAGTCTGACTGTCAGATGCACCAACCCCCCCCCCCAGATCACCACCACACCCATACACCACCATACACCACTAGTGTCTTGTTAAATGAGGACGTTTGTCTGTCTCTTCATGGACTAAAGTATTCCTAAGACTGTCCCTGAATACTCCACCTTCAAGAAGACCAGGTCGACGACAGGACAGGCGTCGGTGGAGCTCCACCCAACACCTGTCTTCTACTACATCTTCACTACACAGGAATTTAATTATGTCTTTGAGGAGGAAATTACCAGACACTGACCCCCCCCCCCCCCCCCCCTCCTGCTCCGTGGTTCTTCCACTCAGCCTTCCTCCTCCTCCTCCTCCTCAGAGTCTCCAGGGTGAGTGAAACTCCGAGGCCGGCAGAGGAGTGCAGTGTGTTGTTTCAAAGTTTCTCATGTACTTTCGTGCCTGGGAGACAGACAGAGGGAGAGAAAAGACGGTGAGACGGGGGAGGTGTGGGAGGGCACTGGACAAAAAGTGCAGCGTTTGATTATATTAGGTTTGCTGCGTCTGGCCGCCTGCCCACAGCTCTCTGGCAGCTGCAGCAGGTTTTACAGGGCGGTGAGTAAACACCAGCTCAGAGCTGGTTACCAGGGGAGCTAAAGGATAGCATTAGCCGTAATGGACGGCACTCCTCCTGCCTGATGTTAAATGACTTCAATAAGCTGAGCACGGTAAAATGTATTACAGCAGTCAACCTGAGAGCACAGGTGGGCCGGTAACCACGGCAACCAGGAGAGTGTCTCTCAGCGTTAATGATGTCTGTGAGCAGCGAGAAGACGACGAAAGACAAACGTACAGGAGGAGAGGGGTTCTAGTCTGAGAACTGGAGGGAAAATAGACGAGTAAAGAGGGAAGTGTCTGAGTGGTGGGGGGGGGGGATGATGGGGGGGGACAATTTCCTCACCAAGAAGAGAGCCAGCTGCCGCCGTCCCTCCATAGCCATGTCCTCACCTGGTAACAATGACAGAGTGAGTGTTTAACATGTACAGGGCAGACGATGGGGGAGGGAGGGTGAGGGGAGTTGAACCCCAGACCTACCAACAGTCCATGGAAACAGAACGTCTTTGTCAGCCTGGTACGACTGCAGCACAGACACACACCAGTCGTCGTCCACTTCATACGCACTGTAGACGGTCGCTGCCGAGAGAGAGGGGGGAGAGAGAGAGAGAGAGAGAGAGGGGGGAGTCAAACTCACTGGACCTGGATCCTGACCACAGGGCTGCTGGTCCAAATCCCGGAGCGTAACACAGGGTAATTACATTTGATACTTTTAATCTGGGACAGTTGTTCTGTTGAAAAACAGTTTTAATATTTTGTAGATTTAATCTGAGACTAAGTTACTAGTTAGTCTGAACCAGACGTACTCTGTGTGTGTGTGTGTGTGTGTGTGTGTGTGTGAGAACTGAGTGTTGACAACTTTGCACCAATACAACACACGTACTACTGCAGTATTTCCCCTACACTGACTCAACAGCAGGCGCTGCAGTTCAACTCTCACCCCATCATTAAAGTCAGGACTTTAGCTGTTTCTAATTTTACAGTGTAAACCTGGGGGAAGGAGGTGGGAGGTGAGAGGGTGGAGGGGTGAAGGGGTGTTTCTCTGTTCCTGCCTCAGGTTTATGGAGAAGTAAAGACAAATGTGAACCAGCGCTGACTTCCTGTCACATTCAGACTTTCTACACAGAGCCTTACTTCATTAGTACTTCATTAGTACTTCATTAGTACTTCATTAGTACTACATGTACTTGTACTCTGTACTGTGTGTACCTGGTATTACAGTAAACCTACCTTCTCCTAGTGGGTTAGTGGCTCCCAGCCAATGTCTGACGGCTCTGACTCCTTCGTCTGTCATTATTTTAGGATACCTGGACATCGAGGTGACATCATGGTGACATCATGGTGACATCATCATCGTGTACAAACATCCACTGTGACCGTCTGGTTCTGGGACTCACCTGAACTGCAGCAGTCTGAGCAGGAGGTCGTTGCCTCTGTTGGACATAACGTCCTCTGGACCCCTGAGGACAGGACGCCAAAAGGTGATTGGACGGGAAACCGTCATTAGAAATTCATGAGAAAAATACTTGATCAAATATTGACTAAATACTGATATGTTTTGATTTTAAAAAAACCTTTTGTTTTCTTGTTTTTGTTTTTATAGTAGTTTAGTTTAGAGAAACTTTTATTTTTGTAGACTTTTCAGGAAGTTGTTAGTGTAGCGTGCCGTTTAACTTGACCACGATGATCAGCTGTGAGTCTACGTCCTATCAGCCAATCAGAGTAGAGCTTTTCCTGCCGCGCTTCCGTTCCGAAGTTGAACAAACAGTCAAACAGGAAGAGCGAACGTGGAGCTGAGGGAGGCGAAGTTGATGTGAGCCGTGACTTGGAGTTATCCTCCGAGCATGAAGATATTGTGGAGAAGAAAAGTTACCTAACGTCGGTGGTGTGGCGGTACTCTGGGAATCTACGAAGTGACGTGGAACGAGGCCGGTGAACACGGTATGTTTGCGGTCGGTGCCTCCACAAAACACCAACACAAAAACAAATATGTTTCATCATCTGAAAAACGACCAACCGAGTGATTAGACGGACAGCGTGACGATAAGAGCGGGGTCTTCACTTCCTGTCACTGCTGTCACTTTAGCACAAGTTCGTGTAGCATTAGCAGCTAAACCACTGCTAGCAGCGTCAGCCGTGTCTTTGGAGTCTGTTCACACACGCGACAGCATTTAGTCCAGTTGAAGACGTGATGCCTTTAAAGTCAGCGGAGAAAGTTGGATTTCAGCATTTAATCAAAGTATCGGAGCCGAGGTACGAAGTCCCCGGCAGAAAATACTTTTTGACGAATATAGAGGAAGACCGGAGACTGGTGTGACGATTTTAAATACGTTTCCGTGTTTGTTTTATTCATCTTTGTTCTTCTTTTATAAGTTAAAATGTTGGGTTTACTGTTTGAAGTATTGACCATTAGGAGTGTTGTTGTTGTTGTTGTTGTTGTTGTTGTTGTTGACAAAAGGTGTTTGATCATTAAAACTAGCTCATCTGTGTTGTTACTATAGTTGATGTTGAACATGTTTACATTTTAAGGCAACTTTATTTTGAGGACTACACACCTGTAAAAACGTGTTGTTGACATTTTTCTAAGTTCATCTGATTTAATTTGCTTTGTTACTCACATGTTAATAAAACATTGAACTAAACTGCAGTTTCTTCAGTTTTCTGTGCAGACGCATTGTTTAGAGAACGAAGGAGAATGAAAAATATACACTGGTTTTTTTACGCAGCCATAGTTGACATACATAAAAAAGACAGTAAGGTAAATCTTTGGCATTTTGAGCTGTGATGTTTTAGATGAGGTTGTGGTAACAGTGAGTGCTGGGCTGTAGAGACTCACGTGGTTGTGATGATTTCATCTTTGGTTCTCCTGATCAGCAGGACTGGACCCTGGTACCTGCAGGACCAGGAGCTGTGTTAGTCACCTGGTGCAGCTGCAGTGAGTTTACATACCAGAATACTGCACGGCCATCCACAATGTAGTGTTTCTAGACCTCAGCCCACTCACTTGAGGAGCTGCTCTGCGTTGTTCAGATTCACATACTGTCTGACTGTGTGCTGCACCAGCGGCCCTGGTGGAGAACAGAGGGATTGCAGTTGTAGCGACAGCAGTGGTGTTTAACAAAACATCAGTGAACTGAGTATATAAAAAGCTGAATGCTCAAGCACTCACTCCAGCTGTCGGGCATGACCTTTAGGGCCAGAGGCAGGAGGTCATCGAAGGAAGCATCCAGAACCAGAGCTTGGACCTCTGGGTACGACATGGCTGCCCAAGTTGCTGAGAAAGGGAGATCATTTGAACCAAACCACAGGACAGAGTTCCAGTGAAGTGAATGAAATGTCTGTGTTGCTGATGTCGTACCTGTGAATCCTCCAATAGACCAGGCAAAGATGACGATGTCACTGAGCTGGAAGCCCAGTTTATGAACAGCAAACTGGATCACTACGTCCATGGCATTGGCCTCGTTCTGAGGAAAGGGTACGCCCTGAGAGAGACAGTCAGACAACAACGGTCAGACAACAACGGTCAGACAACAACGGTCAGACAACAACAGTCAGACAACAGGGGAGTCAGTGATGGTCAACGTTAACAGCCACTCATTCCAGCAGGTGGTGCTGTCTCTGCTCTGACTGCAGGCTGATGCTGCTGGAGCTTCACATCAAGTTCCAAAAACAAAAACAACGGCTGCTTACTGTGCTGCCTCCAAAGCCAGGGTGGTTCCAGCCCAGGACAGAGTAGCCCCCTGTGGAGATCACGTCAACAAACAGATCAAGAATTACAATGAAAAATGGCTGAAGTGACAACAGTACCGACTGTAAACAGATGTGGAGCAGAGTTGGCTGTAGAAACTGAAGTCTGTGGGAAAATGACACTTTGTACCTTTTGGATTTTTCTTTTCTACAAAAGAATATTAGGGCTATAAGTTGTAAATGTAGATGATAGTCAGAGAGAGGCTGGAGAATACTGCAAAGTTATGAACATTGTTCTTATAAAATAATGACCAGTAATTGTTTGACAAACATTTGGACTTTATTCTCACAAATGTATCACTTTTTTAAACTATAACTTAAACAAATCTGACTTGATGAAATCATGAATTTAACAACTAATCAATATCCGAGCTGTGATGAGTTTCTCCTTCCAGCAGGTCAACATCAACCTCTGTAGTCAAGCCTGACAGCTAACTGAATTCTAGAGAATTCTACAGCGCCACCTCTGGATGCCTGATGCTAACTTAACCAGACAGCCAGGAGGACAAGAACAGCTGCAGTACCACAACAACAACTACCCATACTGCACTGCAGTGAAGGTGTAAAGAACTCCAGTGGGAATAAAGGATTCTCTTTGAAATCACAGTGAGCTTGACGTTTGGTACTTTTCATTCTCAATAAACTGCTGTAAATACAGTCACAAACAAGAATATTTAGGTGTAAGAGCAGAGGTTCCCTCACCCTCCAGTGGAGTGTTCATGCAGCCCACTTCATAGAAGCCCGCGTTTCCTTCACAGCAGATGACCTGCGACAGAAGTCATACACCAGGTGAAGACAAACACAACACCAGGTGAAGACAAACA